CATTGTGAAGTATATTGGAAATGGTTCCACAAGGTGTCGAGATTCTCAAAGTAAAGTACTTCGTATATTCATCCATGATGATACCATCTATGGTTGATAAGATGTATAAAAGTTAATTTATTAACTAATTAATATGATATAATTATAATTAATTAATTAATATAATGTAATTTGATTAATTAATATGGTATAATTTGTCTAATTAATATGATATAATTTTATATTTCAAATCATTGCATACTTGCAATGTAACAATTCGAGTAATTTTATTTTCGAACCTAAAAAAAAAATTTTTTTTCTCTCTGATTATCTTATCTATATATTTTTATTCATTATTTTTTTGCTTTCTTCATTAATCAAAAATATTAAAAATCAATTTTAGGAGCAATATCTTGCTGATACGATGCAAGAAGCACTTATGAGACATTTTAATGGAATAGAATTTATAGAACGTAATGCTGGCCCTAGAATTGATGAACATATGCAGGAGCAAGGTATGTTTCAAAAAATTTCAAATTTTGCAAAATTTATTCCCAAAAAAGAAGTAATAAAATGAAAAATAATAAAGGCTTGTTTTTTTGGTAAATTTGAGGAATGATAATAATAATAGTAATGATAATAAAAATAATAATAAATGATAATAATAAACAATAATAATAATAGTAATAATAATAAATAATAAATATTAATTAATAAAGGCCTAAATTTATAAGATGAAATTTATTGTGCGATGACATTTTAGGCTTTCATGTAAAAGCATATGTTGACCACACTACGGGTTTTATATTTGGCGGTAATATCTATAATTGCGGTACATGGATGGATAAGATGGGAAGTTCTGAGAAAGCTGGTAATAAAGGTTGGCCAGCAACACCCAGAGATGGTGCTGCTGTTGAATTGCAGGGCCTTTGTTTTGCAGTTATTGAAAAATTAGATGAATTATACCAGAAAAAACTCTATCCGTACGAAGGAGTCTTTAATGGTTTCTGTTAAAATTACAATTTTTTTTTTATTTCATTTTTTTTTTTTTTTTGTATGATATTTAAACATTTCCACAAAATATCTGAGATAATAAATGAATCAATGCTTAATATGATAAATTTATAGAAAATGAAATGTGGACATGGCAAAAATGGGCGAATATTATGAAAAATAATTTCGAACGCTTTTTTTATGTAGCTGACAATGACTTATCACAGTACGTAAATAGACGTGGTATAATTAAAGATACGCATGGTTCCACGCAAGGTTATACTGATTATCAATTAAGACCGAATTTCTCGATTGCATTAGCCGTGGTAAGCTTGTTTATTTTGTATGTAACATATTTTTGTCATAGCTTTCAAAGTTTTAGATTAAAATTTGAAGAGTAAAATTCAAACGGTTAATAAGTTTAGAATGTAATGAAAAATTATTTTATAAAACTCTTATCATTTTAGGCTCCAAAACTCATAGCTCCAGAGAAGGCTTGGCAAGCACTGCAAATTGCAGAGAAAGAATTACTTGGGCCATTGGGTATCAAAACTCTTGATCCAAGGTAATATCATAAGCTTAATAATATCTAACAGAGATTGAGGCTTTAATTAATTGAGGCCAAGTAGTAATCTATCTTCAATTCATAACACTAAGCAGTAACTGATAAAACTAATCTAACACAACATATATTGTTTAAATTCAAAAAAAAAAAGTAAATTTTATTGAATTATTTTATAGTGATTATAATTATTGTCCATTCTACAATCAAGACGATGATGGTACGGAAAAGAAAACAGCTCGAGGTTGGAGCTATCATCAAGGCCCGGTATGTTTCCGTTTCCAATTTTAAGCATTTAAAATTTGAACAAAATTTTATACTAAAACATAATATTCAATTTAGATCTTCTTTATAATTCTTTTTAAAAAAAGATCCAAATATTTTTCAAATTTTGTGTTTTTTTTTTTTGAAATTAACAATTTTTAGGAATGGTTATGGGTAGGAATGTTCTTTTATCGAGCAAAATTAGCCATAGCAAAAATAATCAGTGAAGAAAAGAATAGAGCGGAATTTTATGAGAAAGCAAAACGATTCGTACGATCACGAATGGGTGCTTATTGGGAACATTTGAAGCATTCAACTTGGGCATCACTACCTGAATTAACCAATGCAAATGGCTCTCCATGTTATCATTCATGTGGTGCACAAGCATGGAGTATTGGTTGCATGCTGGAAATGGTTGATGAATTATATGAATTACATAAATTTTAAAAGCATATAGGTTAGAATTTCATAAATTTAATCATATATTCTTTGAGAAGCATTTGATGGTGTATAATATAGTTTCCCTAGTTAAAAAATTTAAAAAAAAATTTGGTCAATTTTTTAAATTCTTGCAGAATGAGGATTTCAATGATCTTTACACTAGCAGGAAAAAAAAAAAACAAATCATCTTCCTGGAAAATTCTAGATTTAGATTTGATACGATTATTTCAGTTTGTCATTGGATAACTCTTCTAATCATTTTTGTTAGTATTTTCACTATTTATTTTCAGTGATTCTAGATTGGAATTGAAAAATTTGAAATATTCTATATGGTCCCCACTATCTTCCCCAGTTTTATATATTATTGTATGAATTTTATTTATCTTAGCTTTTAGTAATACTCTGTATATGGGCCTCACGTAGGTCAATGATTTCCGTACTGTGAATGTCAGTAAATTAGGAAAATCCATTACCACATAAAAATTCTTCAAATATCTTACAGTTGCTCATCTTTCTTATAACAGTGAAATATTTATTCCATCTCAACAAATAACTCCCAAATAACTTCATGCTCCTACTATTAGAGAATAAGCAAATCATTGGTAACAAACAGTTCACGTAGATTAAAGTAAATTTGAAAAAGTCTTTAATTTTTCTAATTCTAATATCGAAAAAGAAATTCTTTTTATGAAGTTTGGAATAAATTCAAACTGCTGCTACCATATAAAAATCTGGCGAATAGTACGATGGGGCTTTAAATTTCAAAAGCTAATTAGAAGCTATAAGCCTAAATGCGGACGCTGTTGTCACACAAACCAGAAACATTATTTACAGATTTTCCAACATATGAACAACTTCAACGAATGCATTTAATGCAAGTTTATAATCGAATAAATGATAAAGCGAATATACACCAAGCAGTTTTTTTTTTCTTTTAGTGAGTTTTAGATAAGAAGAGATATATTAAAAAATAAAATACTCAAGAATGTTGACAGCTGAACAACTGTAATATTTTTGTATACATTCGAAAGCACAAAATAATGATATACTTTGACTTGAAATTAGTCCAAAATCTTTTGTATTTTTCCTCTAGAAGAAATCAAATCATCTGATTACAAATCTATAACATCGTCGTTTCTATCTTGCACAACATTATATTACGTTAACATTCTTCGTATAACCACTACAATTAAATTAATCCAATCTCATTTCGAAAGCATAGAAGAATACCGTGGAATGAAACATTTTGTTGAAAAAGCGGAAAAGTAAGAAACGAAAATACTTTGGGATGCCGAAAATGCTTGGGAAATATGAGATATATTTGGTTATGATTGAAAAAGTTTCGGGAAACACTTATTATCTTTATAACAATACAATTGTCACAATGTAACCTGAGATTAAACCTTGAAAATGATATGACATTAAGCATATATGGTAATTAAATAACCCTCTATTTCCATCCCTATACTTTGCTAAATCAACAAATTACTACAAAATAGTCTGAAAGAAGAAAACAGCAGTAAAATAGTGACGGACAACAATGATTCACCGATTTGCTTGCTCGCATGCATCTATCCAGTCCGAATAGACATCGATTGGTTCAGAAAGATAATTGATATTTGTTTGGAAATCCTCCAAACACACTCTACACGAAATGAAACCGACATTTCTTTCACGATCCCTAAAACAAAGGAAGAAGTAATAAATACCATCGATATTAGAGTATTACATTTTTTTCAAATATCAAACTGGTACATGAATTTCACACTAACTTAGGATGATTTTTTGCAGAATGTAAAATATGATCTGACATTTTAAATTGTCTCATTTTTCTGTGATATATTAATTATAAGTCTTCAAAAGCATTACTTATAGCAGAAATTTTAATTCAGATAAAATGGAAATCTTTCTTCTCTTTATTAAACAACCGATGAACTATCCTATCTGTCTATGAACTACCCTATTAACATCTTTCTTTCGAGCGATTTTAAGCTTAAGTCTAACATTTGCTCACTGATAAAAATTTAAGACTCAGTAATCAAATTCCAAAAGAAGTTCTCTACCAAACCAGAACATAAGATTTAAACTAGGAATAAGCATCCTTCAGCAGTAAAATCGCATTCACTAATTTCTACAATTGATAAGACACCCATCTATGGGTCCAATGCACTATTCAAATACTTTACCAACATCCGGAATTAACAAATTCTAGAATTTGCAAAGGAAAAAAAAAAACAGACATACATTTTTACTTCACACACTCTTTCGTGATTGCAGAATGGACAATTAAATTGTGTCTCCAGCGGTACAATTGATTTCACCTTTGGTGGTGGCTTTCGCTTTACCTTACGCTTCCCCATTTCACAATTCTTAATTAACAGCAGTAATCACACGTAACTGAAAACTATAAACATTTGTCATAACCGAAGCATAAATTATATATTTTTTGGTTATATTCCACACATAACACTCAAATGTTGACGTATACGTCATGTTCAACGCAACACGCCCACCATCAGTTCATCATACTCCCAAAAATCATTCCAACAAAGCTCCCAAAGAATAAGCCAATCACACATCCCAACAACAGAGTTCAGATTTTAATGCGGCCTCAGCATGAAATTTACGGTCTGCAATGCATGTTTTTTCAACTGATTTGAGTGTATCATTTGTTAATTGATGTATTATTGTCATGAATCCTTCTAGACAGAAGATGTTATGAAATTTGTAAATTGTTTAAATATATTTGAAAGAAATAAGGATAGAATATAAGTCACCATGAAATGATATTAACAAAGTGCTGTGTTAATCTTCAATTACAACTGAAATCTTTTGAAATGATATAATTTTAGCGATTGAAATAGGAAAACAAATGGAATATTGTTCCTTTTTTTCTTTTTTTAACTTAATATATCATTCGTTGTCTCTAACAGTAAAGATTTTTTCACATTTTATGCAATTCAAAAATAATTTTTTCTATTCTTTAAAAAATGATTTTGAAATTTTCGAGTAATTTTTGTAAAAGAGAAAGCAATTTGTAAAAGTATAACAGAAAATTTGATTTTGATGTAAAGTTGCTTTACACTTTTTTTTCCTTTTTTTGTTGTCTAAAAATAAGAAGTCAGTCATGTAATTTATCTGAACATAAGCTAAGCGTATAAAAAGTCTGCTCTGAATTATTATACTAAAAGTATTACAGGAAAGTTTTAAATGCAAGTACCATTTCTTCTAAGTTATTATATTTTATTATACTTTGCTCCACTAATCATTTGAGCATTTGAAAGAATATTTCAATTTCTGATCGAGAATGATCCTCATTTCAATCTATAAATTCCATTTGTTGTAGAAAGTTTATCTAGTTTTCTTGAGGTCTTCCAACCATGAAATCAACTGCTGAGTAATGCTTTTTCGGTTTTCAGCTTGCCCAGCCAACAGAATGTATAAATTAGTTCATTAAGTGGGAACAGTGTCAATGTCAAGTCGTGACAGCTTGCAGACAATTAGAGCAGAACGACGTGCAGGACGTCTAAAGTGCAACGTAGTTCTAATCTTTCAAAGTGATCACACTTTTGAAGGGAAATTTATGCTTTTTTAATCTTTGGCCAAACGTTCAGAAAATGTCCATTGGATATTAACCGGATGAAAGGTGGAGACAGCCTTTGGTTAGACAACTTTTATGCCAGTGATGTCCTTGAATAAGGCTATTTGGTTTGCTGTATTTTTTTATATCTCTCTAGAATGCCTCTTTCTTATAAAGATGGCCTTATAGGTGAAAGAACCGTCTATGCCCGAGTTTGCAATTAGAGTCGTCAATAAGCCAATTCTAACTGTGAGCACACTTTCTGTGACCGTTCGGTTGAGACATCTCTGGCATGGAAGATCTTATGCCTCTGCCAGCATAGCTCGCAACCTCATAGGGGCATGTAAGCCTTTTTCCCACGACAGTAGCGCTTGTGGTGGATTTTAATATCGCAAAACTCTAAAATACTATATGGGAGCTGAGAATGTGAGTAACAAATATGTTATATGAAATCTTGCAAGTGATACCAATAATAAACCGATGAATACCGATTCAGACAATTTGCATTGCTGTCCAGAAAACTCGTTACGAATGTTTAAAATTCGTCCACAAATGTAATACCGTGCTGATATTGACGAAAACGACTAATCAATTTTGCTAGTGGTTAAATATGTCGGTTCTTTCGCGTTATTTCTCGATACTTTAATGGAATTTCTATTTGTTATATTGCTTTAGGTTGTGAAAATACTTAAAAGAGCGCTGAATTATTTGTGAGGCGTCTGCTTGCCTTATTTTACCTCAGTTAATTGTAATTCTTAAGTAGTGTTCGTGACGGGTTTTCAAGATAGAAATGCAGATTTGTGTGAATCAGTAATCTCATTTGTACGCATGATGATTTCGATGCTCAAAAGATAGTAAGATAAATGACGAATATGGATGCTATAAGCGAACTTAATAAACCACCCGGGAATGTCAAAACACCCATGTTCGTCATGTATATTACTATCTTCTGCGCATCGAAACCATCACGTTGCTTGTGATGGTACTTTGATGGCATGTCAACATCTAATGGTGATGGGATTTTTACAGAAGCTGCTGTTGCTGTACTTGTCGTTGTTGATGATGCTGCTGCTATTGAATTATTCCAGGTACTTCAATAAGTTATTGCTGTTGTTGCTGAGCAAGTGAACTGGTAGTTGTTGTTGTTACAGAAATAATACCCGACGACTGTCATACCACTTCAATTGCTTGTTTAGCACTTGTCTGTACAATGCTTCCTTTGGTGTTTTTCATCCGAAATTCAACAGCCACATCATCACCGCCTCCAGGAATATCATATAGCGTGACTTCCAGACTCACACAACCACTTCCAGCTTTGCTGACAAATTTGCTAAAGGAATGTGGAAAGAAAGCATTCAGTTGAATTAATTGGCGGTACATCTCGTATTCCGGTAATATTTTAGGGATTTTCTGGGATGATATGTATGCAATCAAAGGATTTCTTAGAATAATCCTTGTTAAGCAAAAATGCTTAATGGCAAAGTTTATTATAGTGATCAAATAGGACTGATAATCAGTGAACTAATCTTATTGAATCAGGAAACGGTGTGATTTGTTCGTGTTACAAAACCAACAGTTACGACTGATTGGACCTGTTTCTCTCCATAGAATATGCATTTAAAATATCGAATTACAACACGCTGAAAATCTTTTTGACGACACAAAAATAATGTCACCAAATTGAAGGAATTCAGTAGACGTGTGTAAACGCAAACCATCACAATGACATGCGACGCTGCAGAAGGATCTGCTTCGCAAATATGTTCTATTATTGCTGATACCACCACAAGAACTATAAAGATGAAATTAACGAAATAAGTAATAAAAGCAGGTTTTACATATAAAATTCACTACATTCCCTGCTATGTAAAAGGTTCAAGTATAACTTCCCGTAATTTCTCGGTTACCCGGGAGTTGAAGAAATCATAAGTTTAAGTTATCGCCTAAAATCAGAAAGAATAGCAATGTTTCGTTATTACTGAAAGTACTTAGCCTTCATCAGAACTGTTCATAGAAATCCGCGTAGCAACGTACAAAATGTGAAACAGCAAGAGATCAGTGATGTTTGAGTGTATCGCTTTTGATTTTTGAGAAAATGTGACAAATTGCGATTATGCGAATTGCTTGAAAGGTACTGCGCACCGAAATTCCTAAAAGTGATAGTGAGTCATTCATATTTTGAATTGATTTATTGACGTTTGCTACCTGACGTAAACAGCGTAAAGAGGAAGCAGTTTGATGTGTTATACATTCCCCGAAAGATATATGCAATAATTCTGTTATCGTGTGCTTCTTTGATTTACTTTGCAGTTTTGTCGTTTCAGTTAGCAGTCAGTAATAATTTAGTGGTAATTCCGCTGAATGAATAGTAATTAATTTAGAATAATTCTACTGAATGAATAATTGAATTCTGACACATAAAGCAAAGGAATGAAGCAACGGACTGTATTACTCAATGATAGCACAATTTCATTTCTACGATTAGAAATATTTCAAAAGCCATACCTTCTCAGAATAACAACCACAATAATCATAAGAACAACACTCGTCATTGAAGCGGAAGAGGACAATAGTAGTAATGCTTCGTAAAAGCGTGGTGAATACGCAAATGAATGTTTCATTAATTTTGCAGACGAATTTTAGCGCAAAACATAAATACAAAAGCTTATTTTAATATTTCAACTATGAAATGACAACACCATATATGACCAGCTCTAACGCAATGCATATAACATAATGAATTAACTTCAAAATGTTGCTATTTTTAGCAGTTTTGACACTTAAATATAACTAAAATTGATAATTTAGAACCAATTTTCTTGTTAAATGTACGAAAACTATTACAAATTTTAAAATTTTTAAAAAATTCAAAATTTAAATTCGAAATTAAATTTAATTTTAATTCTTAAATTGAATTAAAACCATTATTAATTGAAAGTTTTATTAATTTTGCTGATGAATTTTTGCGCAAAACTTAATCATAAAAGCATATTTTAATATTAAAACTATAAAATGACCAACCATATATGACCCGCTCCGGTGCAATGCTTACAACATAATGAATTAACTTCAAAATATTGCTATTTTTAGCTGTTTTGACACTTAATTAAAACTAAAATTAGAACTAATTTTCTTGTTAAATGTAAGAAAACTATTACAAATTTTAAAATTTTTAAAAAATTCAAAATTTAAATTCGAAATTAAATTTAATTTTAATTCTTAAATTGAATTAAAACCATTATTAATTGAAAGTTTTATTAATTTTGCTGATGAATTTTTGCGCAAAACTTAATCATAAAAGCATATTTTAATATTAAAACTATAAAATGACCAACCATATATGACCCGCCCCGGTGCAATGCTTACAACATAATGAATTAACTTCAAAATATTGCTATTTTTAGCTGTTTTGACACTTAATTAAAACTAAAATTAGAACTAATTTTCTTGTTAAATGTAAGAAAACTATTACAAATTTTAAAATTTTTAAAAAATTCAAAATTTAAATTGAAATTTAATTTAATTTTAATTATTAAATTGAATTAAAACCATTATTAATTGAAAGTCTTATTAATTTTGCTGATGAATTTTTGCACAAAACTTAATTACAATAGCATATTTTAATATTAAAACTATAAAATGACCAACCATATATGACCCGCCCCGGTGCAATGCTTACAACATAATGAATTAACTTCAAAATATTGCTATTTTTAGCTGTTTTGACACTTAATTAAAATTAAAATTGATAATTTAGAACCAATTTTCTTGTTAAATGTTAAAAAATATCAATTCATTAAAAAAAAATTAGTTAATTTGAACTCAATTGATTAATTTTATGCGTTGCATACGTACCGGTCACTTACGGTGTGGTCAATCGACAACATAAATGAGAAAATAAACTTTAATAACTAAGTCTTTTTTAATATTCGAGAAGTGATATTAATAAAATTTTTATTTTATCGTAGATTTAATTCATTTCTGCAGCTAAATTAGTTTTTGTTTGAAATTTTAAGATCGAATTTTATGAAAATTTTATGATTTGCAATGAATCAAAACCTTTTTTGTATATTAGACTATGAAATAATTCCTAGTATTATCAAATTTTACTTTAGTTAAATGTTAAATGTTAAAAAATATATATTCATTAAAAAAAGTTAGATATTTCGAGCTTAATTGATTAATTTTTATGCATTACATGGGTACTGGTCATTTATAATTGGGCAATTGATCAGCATGAATAATAAAATAAACTTTAAAAATTAAGTTTCAATAAATATTTGACTAGCGGAATTGATTAAATCTTTAATTTATCACGGTTTTAATTCATTCTTACAATTCAAATTAATTTCTATTTCAAATTTAAATATCAAATTGTACTCATGAAATGAATAAAAATTAATCAACTGAGATGAAAATATCTATTTTTTTTATTGAATTGATATTTTTTAATGTTTTAACATTTAATTGAATTGAAATTTGACAATGCCGGGTTTCATTTCATATTCCTACTAATTGTAGGATTTTCATAAAAATCAATATCTAAATTTGAAATATAATTTAACTTTAATTGTAAAATGAATTAAAACCGTGACAAATTAAAAATTTAACCAATTTTGTTAAACATATATTTAATTAAAACTTAATTATTAAAGCTTATTTTAAAGTTAAATTTTTTTATTTTATTATTTATGTTGCCTATTGACCACATCGTAAATGACCAGTACTTATGTAACGCTTATAAATTAATAAATTAAGTTCAAGTCATATAATTTTTTTTAATGATTCGATTCTTTTCAATATTTTGACATTTAATTAAAATGATTTTTTGATATTGCTAGAATTTATTTCATAATTTAATATACAAAACCCTAACAAATTATTGAATTTTCATAAAATTTGATATTTAAATTTGAAATAGAAATTAATTTGAACTGTAAGAATGAATTAAAACCGTGATAAATTAAAGATTTAATCAATTCCGCTAGTCAAATATTTATTGAAACTTAATTTTTAAAGTTTATTTTATTATTCATGCTGATCATTTGACCAATTATAAATGACCGGTACCCATTTAATGCATAAAAATTAATCAATTAAGCTCGAAATATCTGACTTTTTTTAATGAATATATATTTTTTAACAGTTTTAACATTTAATTAAAATCAAAATTGATAAAACTAGAAATTATTTCCCCTTTTAATATACAAAAACTCTTGCAAATTATAAAATTTTCACCAAAATCAATTTTCAGATTTGAAAATTGATATCTTCTTTATTGATATTTCAGATTTGAAAATTGATATCTTCTTTATTGATATTTCAGATTTGAAAATTGATATCTTCTTTCACTGGTGCTATTGATATCTTCTTTATATATGTATTAAATATCCTCTTTATATCGGGCAAACAAATAGTAATGTGTGGGTCAAAACGACCAGGTCTAAGCAGTGCAGTCACAGCAACTATTATCACACCTTCATTAGAGTCAAAGCCATCCATTTCAATAATAACTGATTCAATGTTTACTCTCCTCGTCATTACCATCCTCAAGACTATACCACGATACCTACCCATCCCTAAGACTATACCACGATACCTACCCATCCCCAAGACCATATCACGATATCTACTCATCGCATCTATTTCACACCTATTTTTCTTACCTCTGATCAAATCCATCAGAACACGCACTTACACCAACGCTAACGAACATTTCAGATCCAGAAATACTAAAAAAGGTACATTAGCTTCACCTGCAACTGCACAAGCAAGCAGACTTCTACCAGGCTTCTTCCCAGGAGAGTCAGTCAAAAGGTATTCTTTCGGTATTTCCCCGCCTAACACTTGAAATTCTTATCTCTGTTCTAGAAAGTGAACGATTTCTACTAACTCTTCTTCTGCTTCATCAATCCCAGCAACATTATCAAATGTCACTTTTCTCCACTAGTCATGAGCGTAGCTTTTGATTTGCCAAAGCTTATAGTTCTGTTACCTTCTTTTTGAGTTAACTGTTTGCGTTTCTTTTAAAAGGAACAGCAACGAGCCAATAAAGATAAATGTTGGAATCTATTGGATAAGATAAGTAATCTACCAATTCACTTTTCTGTGATGACAGTGTATGTGACCAGTTCCCGCACTATGCATATAAAATATTAAATTAGTTTCTAATTTTCTGTTTTTAATATGAATTGCTATTTTTTTAATAGTTTTCACACTTAATTAAATTAAAATTTGATAGTCAATCTTACTTTTCTTGCTTTACATGTTTTTGCAACGTTTTGAATTGCAGAAAATTGTAGCACACCTACATCTACTACTTTGGTTGTGCAAGTTGATCTAGGTTCTGTTCTAATCTTCATTGCATCAACACCTGCATCAACATTAATTACATCAATCTCTTCTCTGACCATAGTTTCACATCTTTCCATACCATCCTTTTTACCAGTACCAACTGCAGCGGCAACTCTGAGCCGCTCTTAAGTATCATTACATGAATTAGGGTATCTATTGCATTTCTTAATATCTTTAACTGTGATCAAATCTATAGAGTAGGAGTTTTCATCTATGACCAAAAGCTTTTCTATTCTATTCTCATGCAATAGTTTCATTGCTGAAGCGCTCCCGTATTGTAACTAACTTCTCTTTCGTCATTACTTCGGGGACTTTTATACTTTTTCTGATTTTTTTAACCATCAATAAACCTTATATCTCTGTTAGTTAAAACTCTGACTAACTTGCATTGATCAATTACAGGAATACCAAAAGATTTTTCAATAATGAAATTGCTTCTGCAACTGTTTTATCAGGGGAACAACACAGTCTGAAGTAAAGTAAAGGAGTCAATAGTCAATTGCTTAACAGTCTGTTGACTTTTTTTGCTGCTTTCTTTTTGTACTTATGTATGAGAAACAGAGCGCTTTGGTCGGTGTGGCTCAGTCGGTAGAGCATCAGCTTGTGGGTACTAAGTTCGGCTAGTTCGGCTCTGCTCACTCTCTTTCAAGAAGATCGTTCCTGCCTTATGATATGAGTACTAAATTAGTGCGCAATTACAGCTGGTAGGGCATTAGCTTGTGGCATTGAGTGCGTCTAGTTCGGTTCTGGTCGCTCTCCCAAATGAAAATCTCCCTTGCAAAATGATGAGTCCTAAACAGAGCAAAAACTCTCTAAATCATCTGAAGTAAAAATTCCAATGAACGATTGTCAGAGATGTTATGCTCTCTACCTACTTACTGTCTTCATCAGATGCACCTCAACTCCTTGACTAAATTTAACGAAGTTGGTAAGGAATATAGTATTATCATCATCAATAATACTGTGCAATAAACGCACAGGGCAGTTTATATATCCATTGTCTCTTTATTTAAAAGAAGCTTTTTTTGCCATCTTCATCTTCTATACCAAGCTTTTAGTTATTTTGTATATTTAATGCTCAGAAGTAAAATCTATTACTCCTTTAGAATCTAATTCTTCTTTTTGCTTTCGGATAGCTGATAGAATATTAAATCTTCAGTAAAGTCAGGAGCAGACGATACACCAATTAGTGCTGCAATTCTTTCTGAAAGTTGGAGAGCAATGAGCAGCATCAGGCACCGTCTCATGCTTGAACCTATAATTATTTGCTTGCCGTTACGAGTTACTCTAACACAATTTTTTTGCCAATCACTCATCGTGTAATCAGTATAATCAGCACCTGACTAACCAATAACCATGACCAAAGTAATCAAATAACACAAATGCTACATGAGTTTCTTGACAAAATTTTTAAATAGCAGCTATTCTAATTCCGTTCATATTTAATGAAAATCCACCGAAATAGAATATGGAAGCTTTTTTTTTCCTTTGTAGCTCGCAATGTGCTATGTACTTACTGTTTTCATCAAGCAAAGTAATGCTGTAATCCATGTTATTTTGGTATAGCAACCTGACTATCGTTTACTTGACACTCAAGTAACTGATTAGATCTGCAATTTCCTGCGGATTGAAAATATCTGCAAATGTCATATGCGTGCCTTTTATATAGGCTTTTGAACTCTTTAAGAAGGCAAATAATTCTTCATATCTCTCTCTACTTTTGATTCTTTTAAAGCATTGCTTTTGAGTAATAATCTACCGCTGCTATTTCCCACCAAGTTGCAAATACACCAAGAAGAATAGCAGCATTTGCGGTTGCAGCAGGACAAACTCATAGCAACACTTGCCGATGACATAGAGATCATCAGTACTGTTGCTGCTGCTACTGCTGCTGCTATTACTTAAGTCTTTCCTTCCTTTTTTTTCGTTAATATCATTGCGATAGCAGCAATCCTATAGCTACAAGCGCTAGCAAAGCTGGAACCCACAATTCTATCTATTACTAAAAGTGACAGAGCTATAAAATTGAACCCTAACCCTACAATAGCTTAATCCTATTACACATTGCCTACTACTATAATTACCCGTGCACCCCACTGAAATTCATAAGAAATTTTACTCATTAAGAAATTAGAAATTTTATTAACATTGGTACTCAAATATTTTTTACAACTTAAACATTAAAGTTTAGTTTATTATCTAAATGGTCAAATGACCAACCGTAAATGACCAGTACCTATGCAACTCTTATAAATTAATCAATTAAGTTCAAAATGCCTATTTTTTAATGAATTAATATTTTTCATTATTTTAATTTTTAATTAAAATAAATTTTTGACATTACTGAAATTTATTTTATAGTTTAATATACAAAACCCTGACAAATTATTGAATTTTCATAAAATTTGATATTTAAATTTGAGATAAAAATTAATTTCAATTGTAAGAATAAATTAGAACAGTGGCAAATTAAAAATTTAATTAATTTTGCTTCTAAAATATCATTCAGAATTCAATTTCTAAACTTGGTTTTATTATTTTTGCTGGTCAAATGACCACAATGTATGTGACCAGTATCCATGAAATGAATAAAAATTAATCAATTAAGTTCAAAATATCTAGTTTTTTTTTTTTTTTTATGAATTGATATATTTTAATATTTTAACATTTAATTAAAATAAATTTTTGGTATTATTAGAATTTATTTTATAGTTTAACATGCAAAATTCTAATAAATTATTGTTTTTTTTATAGTTTATAAATTTTTGGTATTATAAAAATTTAATTAATTTTGCCTATCAGATATTAATTAAAACTTAATTATTAAAGTTTATTTTATTACTCATGCTGATCAATTGACCAACTGTAAATGACCAGTACTCATGCAATGCATATAAATTAATCAATTAAGTACAAAATATATAACACAGTGACACACAGCGAAGATAAAGTATATATAACTCTATAAGATTTTAGTAGTAGTGAAGCTTTATAACTGTATGCTTAAGTTAAGAAGGTGCTTTCTACATATTTTCATTTATTGTATTGCTTTCATTTCTATTTTAGTACTAAGTTCTAATATTTTAGTCGCAACACAAGACACCACCCATGCTATTACTGCAACTACAACTACTGTTGCTATTTTAGGATAGCCCGAATGCGACTTGTAACTGTTTCAGTTACAAAAAGTGTTGTTGCTGTGCAGTATCACCAAATAATATTGTTAAACCAAAACAACAAAAGACATTTTACTCTGTTGGTCAAATCACTTCATTCTCCAGACCAAAGATTTCACCTCTTAATTATGTAGTGACTTTTGTTAAAATCGCTCGGGATTTTACCATCATTATTCTCTAACAAAACATTTACTCTTTTCCCTATTAAACTCTTAATTACTCCTTTGCAGCTATATCAGTATCTGTGCACCCTTGCTTGCTTGATACAATGTAAACAAGGAGTGCGCTTGTCTTTATCTACTGCATTAGCATTTGCTCCCGCTCCTATTAAAGTTTTTACTGTCTCTGCATCGTCAGGAAAATGTAAAGGGGTTATTCCATATTTATCTGCTGCACGAACATCTTCTCCTCCTGCTTCTATTAGGACTTTTACTAATCTCTTCACGACAGGAACTGAGTAGCTATATGTGGAGGAGTGCATTTATCTTTATTGTCTGCATTAACATTTACGCCTGCTTCTATTAGAGTTTCTGTTGTCTGTGCGCCCGTGATACATGTGAGGGAGTGCATTTATCATCATCATCTCCTACATTGACATATGCTTTTACTTCTAACAGATTTTTCACTATAGCAATATGACTTCTCAACAGCCAAATGTATCTTTGTCCACTGCATTAATATCAATTCCTTCCACCCAAATAAAGCGTTCACCACACTTTTTAGATTATTGTGAACAGCAAATGCAATAGTCCATTTTTTCACTGCAAATGAGTGATTTATATCAAAATTAGTTTCCTTCCATATGTACTTAAATCCATTTTTTTAACTTCTCTTTTATTATTGCAATTGCGTTATCTTTACTTAATTGTTTCTTTATCGATTGCACTTAATATTTCTTTCCACTATATGTTCATATTTCATTGTCATCCCTTTTTAAATAATGTTTTAATTATCGTAGATTACGACAAAAAAGCCAACTCATTTTTTTTTTTCTTTTTTGAGAGGAAAGATTGAAATCTGTCATTGGTGAATTGTTACGCTACTTGAATGATTGGGAGACAAGCATCATGATAAAATTAGTTAAATTTTTAATTAAATGAAAAGGGCAAAAGATACCCTGGTTAATATCGAATAGATATTAATATCTATCAAATGCACATCAACATTTCAGTCTAATCACCGCTCTCTGTTCCACCAACTCCTGAGTGGATTTCTAAAAGCAATCATTAATTATTATCTGCTCCATCAGTAAATAAGAAATTTGTTTCTTTACGCTTGACTAATTTCTCTGATTTTAGTAATTCATTTTCAATTTCGGAGAAAAACTCTTCACCGTTTTCATCAATAGTGGATTTCATTAAATTGATAGCATCGTTAAAATCACTTTCTAGCTTTGAAAACAACTCTACATCATTCTTAATTTTAAAATATTGTTTTAAAATTCTTGTCCCTCTTGGCTGTTTTGCCATAGATTACCATCCGCAGTTTGAGACTCACAATAGATTAGATTATTTGATCTTCGTTTTCCTTAGCACTTTGAAGAATAATTTTTTTCTGAAAGCTTTTTTCAAAATACATGTAAAATAGTAATTTCAAGTTGAAGGGCAATCGGTATTTGTAATAAATAGTTATTTCGGCGAAGTAAAGTTTTGAGAGAAGCATGTAATAGTTAAGTTTCATTGTCTGAATCAATTGATCTTATACGAAACATTTATAAGATGAAATTTAATGATTTACTGCTTAACTTTTCTCGGCTCACATTTTACGAAACATTCAATCTTGAATCTAATATTAATACAGATTGAATTTCTAGGATTAGTGGAATTTTTTTGGCTGTTATGCTGCTTTGAATTGCAACTTAATTGTTTCGGCGTAATGCTTGGCTGTATCACTTCAACATTGATGAATTCAGCACCGGTGGTGTTCAGCAAGGATTTAATTCAACTGCTTCACTCTTTGACTTTTAAAGTGTTAAATTTGTTGTAATAATAATAATAGTATTCGTCGTTTTATTTATTTATACCTAGAATGTATTGTATTTTTAATTAGTTTATATTGCATACTTTTTGACTCCTTTGTTTCATCTTCGTATTTTAAAGTTTATTCTTAAATTTGCATTGTTGATTGCATTCTCACTTTCTTTTATTTATTCGTTATTTCTTTCATAATGTAGCGTTGATTCCATTGTATTGTTTTTTAATGCAAAATATGCTGTCACTAAGATGATCCCTTATGATCTTTGGCATGTATCAAATTTATGAAGTGATGAACTTCACTGCAACTGGAGAAGTCATATGGTGGAGATAGTTCTGTTTTGTCTAGAGGTAAATAATTTTGTGATCACCACAATTCGATTATAGAATGGTTCGACGAACAGATAAATGCCGGGATGTAGCAGTACAGCGATGGTAATCGATCGGAACAGACAGTGCTGGAGTGGGTTCATCGTAGCTAGACAATACTGCCAGGGTGAGTATGCCAGCCAGCCAGCCAGCCATTGAGTCAGCAACGTACATTATACTACGTGTCGCGGTTTTACCTACCAGCAAACTATAGAAAATGAAGTCGCCTATGCCAAGACGAACTGATGCTGAAATTTGCATATTTACGAATTTTAGTTTAAATTTAGCATCATATAGTACGCATTATTAGGCATTCTGAATTGTGGGATGATTGGCTCGATGATTGCGTGATGACTGGTCAGTTGCCAAGCTAGCAGGTCAAGAAGATGATGTGGCAAGAAAATAATTCCCATAGAAATAAGTATTTCACAGCTTGGATTTCCCATAGCTTTATCTTTCTGTCGCGTTATGGAAATTAATTGAAGGAATTAATTAGATAAAGTTCTGAGCAGGTAATACTTATTTGATTGCTCTTATTTGAAAAAAATACTTATTGAAAGAAAAAAACATGTTAATCACATTGATAGCAGTGAAAAGAATGAAGCGTTCTGAAGGATTTGTAATCAGAATGAGATTTTCAATTTATTTTTTATTTCTATTCAAAAATTAATCTCGTAAGTGCCAATCTCCCGATACCTGTTCAATGAAAAAATTTCGACAAATACATCCATCATTCAGAGCATCGTAGATTTTAAATTCTTTTATTCGTTGGATATTTCAAGCTTTGTACAAATTTTCCGGATCGTTTCATCACATATATTACTTTTGCGACCTAACGCTTTACGCTGTTGGATATGTTTGCTCTTTGCTTCCTGTAATTTAGACAAAGTTCACTTCAAAATTTTTAAGACATGGATCTGTCGAAAGATAGGATATGATGTGCTAAATCAATGAAAAATACTGAATCCAACTTTGTTGGAGCTTATTTTAGGCTTCTCCTCACTTTTTGTTGTTTTGGCTCGACAAGACATCTGTTGATTGTCTGAATAATTAGCTTTGAAAAGGCTGCTTTTGTTTCTTTTTCCATGTCTGATGTTTTCAGTTATGTTGTAAATCTCATGTAAACGATTTGTAGGAGTCAAGGAGAGAATTGTAATGATTTGCTTTGAAGATAAAGAATTTTATCAAAATTGATCTACAAAGGCCTTTTTTCTTTTAAAAAGTTTTTTCTTTTTCTTTGTCTCTTTCGGGAAATGGATGGTAGCCAACTGACAATAGAAATAGAATTTACTACCACAGAAGAAAGCTCACTGCCTAAGAGAACTTACGATTTCTTCCCTCTGCTCATCATTTCTATCCTCAGCTGTGAACATTACGAATCGCAATACCTGTAAGGAGCAAGCAGTTGTCGCAAATTGCTGTTGCAAGCAGTTCAAAATTTGAATTTTAAATTTGAAATAAAAATTAATTATAATTGTAAGAATGAATTAGAACAGTAAATTTATTTAATTTTGCTACTGAAATATCATTCGGAACTTAATTATTAAAGTTTATTTAATCATTTGTGCTGACCAAATGGCCACAATATATATGACCAGTACCCATGCAATGCATAAAAATTAATCAATTAAGCTCAAAATATCTTTTTTTTTTTAATGATCTGATATTTTTTAATATTTCAACATCTAATTAAAATAAATTTTGACCAACCGGGATTTATTTCACAGTTTAATATACAAACACTTTTAAAAATTATACGATTTTCCTAAAATTTAATATTTATATTTGAAATAAAAATTATTTTTAATTGTTAGGATGAATTGAAAACGTGACTAATTAAAAATCTAATTAATTTTGCAGTTGAAATATTACTCAGAACTTAATTATTAATGTTTATTTCATTACTTATGCTGGTCAAATGATCACAATGACCAGTACCCATCCAATGCATAAAAATTAGTTAATCAAGTTCAAAATATTTAATTTTTTAAATGATTTGACATTTTTATATATTATATATATATTTAAATTTAATTAAAATAAATTTAAAAAAAAATAAAAAAAATTAAAATAAAATCTAATAAATTAATGAATTTTCATAAAATTTAAATTTTAAATTTGAAACAAAAATTATTTGTAATTGTAGGAATGAATTAGAACATTGGCAAATTAGAAATTTAATTAATTTTGCTTCTAAATTCAGTTTTATTCAGTTTTGCTAATCAAATATTGATTAAAACTAATTTATTAAAGTTTATTTATGCTGGTCAAATGACCACAATGTATGCGACCAGTACCTATGCAATGCATAAGAATTAATCAAGTTCAAAATATTTACTTTTTTTAATGATTTGACGTTTTTTAATATTTTAAAATTTCATTAAAATGAAATTTGACAATATCGGGATTTTTATAGTTTAATATGAAAAACTTTAAAAATTTTACAATTTTCAGAAAATCTGATATTTAAATTTGAAATAAAAATTAATTTTAGTTGCAGAAATGAATTAAATGTAGGACAATTTAAAAATTTTATTAATTTCACTTGTCAAATATTTAAAAAAAACTCAATTATTAATGTTTATTTCATTACTTATGCTGGTCAAATGACCGCAATGTACGTGACCAATACCTATGCAATGCACACAAACTAATCAATTAAGTTCAAAGTATCCATTTTTCTTTAATGAATTGAAATTTTAAAATAGTTTAACATTTAATTATAAGTAGTTTTTGATATCGTTGGAATTTATTTTGTAGATTAATATGCAAAATTCTAGTAAATTAATGAATTTTCATAAAATTTAAATTTTAAATTTGAAATAAAAATTAATTATAATTGTAACAAGGAATTAAAACCGTTACAAATTAAAATTTTAATTAATTTTGCCTATCAGGTATTAATTAAAAATTAATTATTAAAGTTTATTTTATTATTCATGCTGATCAATTGACCAACTGTAAATGACCAGTACCCATGCAATGCATATAAATTAATCAATTAAGTTCAAAATATCTCTTTCTTATTAATGAATATATAATTATTAACAGTTTTAACATTTAATTAAATTGAAATTTGACAACACCGGCATTTATTTCATAGTTTAATATGCAAAAACTTTTGAAAACTGCACAATTT